TGCCCCCGCCGCTCTGCGGGTACCTTCAGTGCAGCCCCTTCCTGCAGCCGTGACAAACCCACGCGCAGTCCCTGCCGTGGCCGTGCCCCGTTGTCGCTCCTGGATACTCGCTGCGTTTCTCTTTCGCTCCCCCCGGCCCAACTGCCGAGGTCTCTGTGCCTCCAGCCTGGCCGCATGAAGGCCACAAGTACTAACTAGCACCCAGGCAGTTACACTCGCCTGGCCGCGAGCCTGAGATGCCCAAATATGCTCAAACATCTCTGCCAAGTGACAAAATAGCATCTTGGGCACCGCTTTCTTTCCGTGGGGATTATAGAGCCCCTGTCTCCTCTTCCTAGAAAAGCTGCCAGACGGGGCCCATTGCGACAGCAGAAGCGGCGGCGCAGACGGGCACGAAGCGGGAGGCCGGCGTGCAGACGGAGCAGGGCGCAGGTGCTGCCCGGGACTCCCTGCAAGAGGGGCCCGCGGACGCCGCTCGCCTGCTGGCCTTCCTGCAGAGAGTGGAGGACACCGTTATCAAGGAGCTCAGTAAGAACTGCAGGAGCCATGCCTTCGATGGCTTCGAAGTGAACTGGACAGATCAGAATGACACAGTAAGTCGACAGAACTCAGGTCTGTGTTGTCACCTTGCAGAGCTGGTTGCAGTGGCTCTAACATGTTGTGTTTCTTACCACTGGGATTGATCTTGCCAGATTTTAATAGTTAGAAATTACTAGTCTTTTTTTTTTCTTTTTCCTCCATCCTTTTCCTTTGCTTGCAGTGTCACCTTGCCTGCTAAAACTGCTCTTGCCATCAGTGAGCAGCAGCCTGGTGGGCAGGAAGCCTCCCCTGGGTACAGTCTTACTACAGGTTCAGTAGCCCCTTCCAGGTGTGCCAGACTCATGGTTGTCTAGGAACAGTTGAAGTCAGTGATTTGGCAGCTCCTCCTACTTGGATTATATTTGTTTGTAGCTTAGTGTTGAAGAGTGGAGGCGATTGGTATCTGTATGTACATGTTGGTGCAGTCATTTTCAAACCATTGCTTATTAAGCTCAGCCAGTGCAACAGGCTGCCCTAAGTCCCTGCAGCCTGGCCTGTGTTGCTACCCCCAAAATATGCAGTCTGTGAGTGGCAATAGTGGAAGGATGGCTGCTCTGGTAGGATCATGTGGAGTTGATGTCTCCCTTTAGGAACTGAGCTTCTTTTTCACTTGTATATCTATATGCTTCTTAGGCTTCTGACCCCAAGATCATATGCAGAAGCCAAAGAGATCACCTCTCCCTGTGCCCAGAGAGATTCAGTGCGGGGATTTGATCTCTCCTAGGTGTTGTGCTTGCACACGTTGTCATACCCAGAGGCTCAGCATCGAAAGCTGCAGGTCACCGGTGTCTCGTGGAACGTGACGGGGGCCGTCGTTGCGTGCTCGTACGGCCGGTGAGTATCTGAGGGGGTTGAGCGCAACTGAGGGTCGCTGAAAATGTGACATTTTCAGGCTGACCTACATTTTACATATGTTCACTTTGTCTCCAGCAGTAAACCAGATACAGACACACCTTATTCATGATGAAAAAAACCTAATCCCTAGTCAAAAAAACCCAAGTCTCAGGGGAACTTTAAATTTCGATTATTATTATTTAGAAAATGGATACGTACATGCAGCACTGATTGGTTTCTGGATAGATTCTGTTTGGAAATAAAATATAAAGAGCAGATGCACTTGCAAATATACGTGGGTGAGGTTTAGAAGTACGTGCTTATCTTCTTTGAAGATCTTATTGTTTTAATGTGGTCTCTTAGCACGTTAGATGCACCTGGCATCTTTTCACACATGCACCTAATGCCATGGACATGTGCTAACAATTAGTTAAGAAGAGCTAGGCCGGCCCTAAAATAAGGGTTGGACAAAGCATTTACCCAATGCAAAAGGTATGTGTCTTTACCTGTGTTTCTTCTCTGTGCCTTCCACTGCCCTTACTCTTCTTTTCTTCTGCTACTGTTTTCTTAGACTAAAAGTCCTGCAAAAAGAGCATCTGTGAGTAGAGGTGTAGGG